TTAGTCTATGTAATCCAATCCGAAGAGTTATTTAAGCGAAATGAATGTACTCATTTTTATACAGGGTAATTCAGAATAGAATCAATTTTAAAGTGTGATAAGGCACACTACAGCAGAAACTTTTTGTATAAGAATATATGGTCGTAAATGGGGCGCTGAGGCTTAAATACAAGAAATAAGGCATGAAAGAGAATATAAATGGTTTATTTACAACATCGTTGAGAAGTAGTTCTTTACATTAACGTTAATTATCACTGCTCAAAATTCAGTCCGCCAACACTAACACCTGCTTTGGAGCATGAATAAAATAATTGCCTTGTACTTTTGCTGGTAGACGCCAAAAGTTGGTTTTCCATCCATCAACATAATGCATTTGTGACTGTGTTGTCGTCTGAACCGTAGTGGCTACGAATGCCAAGAAGGAAGATATACACATAATGTATAGGACTGCAAATGTGAAACGGCAGAACAGCGCTACGGATGTATGAAGAACTCTTCTCCAATAAAAGAATTGTGGCCCGCAAAATGTTTGAACAGTTACATAACAGTAAACTGATTACTTCCGTGACAGCAGGCAGAAACTAGTGAATCGAGAGCTTTAACTTGTTCAGACGTGGATGAATTCATCTTGAACCCGGTGGAAGAAAGACCCTACACAAGCATCAGAACTATTGCGTGTTACAATGGTATAAGCAAACCCACTGTTTGGAGAATGTGACATGAAAAACGATTTTTGGGAACTCAGGTTTCGAAAACGGAAAATTACCCTCTGCGTGTGGGGTTCTGCCAGCGGTTTTTGTTAAAACACAGTGCATTTTACCCGGATTTCCCTGCTTATGTGCTAGTCACCGGTGAAGCGATTTCTATACACGAGGGTGATTTCAGAATGACAATTGTCATATGAGGACAGCACCAAACCTACCCACTATACCTCCATGCGTTCTAGGAACGATTTTATGTTAAAGCGTAAGCGGGTATTGTGAACGGCTTCTTGAACGATCCATATTCACCACCAAAACAACTAGATAACATATATTATGGTATTTTTCTAAAAGAGGTTTTATCAGAATTGCTTCGAGATGTCCGGATTTCGGCTATGGTTTCAGCATGATGGACTACCAGCCCATTTCAGCACCGATGAGCGTAATTGCTTAGATGTTACTTAAGAGGAGCGAAGAGTTAGCCCTGTGGGCACCTCAATCGCCTGATCTATAAAGTTTCGATTGCGGACACATAAGGGCATCTGAAAGGCCTTCGTTTATGAGAATTTTGTTGACATCGCTGAGAACCTCATCATTCGAATATCAGTGAGGCTGCACTCATACAAAAAATATCTAGCATCTTTGAAACCCTGCGCCAATCATTCAGTCAACACAATCAAGAACAACGGAGTCGAAGAACCAACATTGTTATCGTATACACTTAAGACAATTATTGTAAATATTGTAAAGAAGCATTTCCCTCAATGCTATTGGTAAAAAATTTGTTTTCTGTCACGTCTTACTTCTTGAGTTTGTGCCTGAACCTATCAATCGCGCGCATATTACACAAAAACGTTTGTTGTAGTATGTTCTACTATCCTTTAAAGTTTTTCTCATGAGTTTTGAACCATCTTGTAGTTGCCATTTAAATAGAAATTACTTCTGCTGTTTGAAAGTTTTAATGTTTCGATACATTTCGCGTATGGAAGTCCTACGATAATTAATGGTTTTAGTTAAATAGTCCTATGATGATAAAAAATTACTTTTAACATTTTAGTGCATCTACTTAAAACCGTGTAATATTAAGTAGATTTTTGTATATATTTTGTTCTACAGAATGCATAAACGTAATAAATAAAGATAATCACTGCCTCTTGCAAAGTCAGGAAATAATTTCTTCTAATCTTCAAAAGATGGCATTTAATTCATCCATATTTCTATTTCATTTCGGAATCTGATGTCATGGTACTGGTAGTAATGAAAAATTAAATCTTTTGTTAAATCTATTGTTAGCAATATTATGGTATCTAAGAATATCAAACAATTTTTGAAAACCCTTCAAAATTTGGCAAATCATGTTCAAAATTCCGAAAAGCACTCACTTCAGCAGCCATTTCTCGTTCTATCCGATGGTGCAGAGTTCATAGTTCTGCAACTATTAATTTCAACGTTAAACAAGAATTTGTGAGAAAGTTTCAGTAATCAACAAAAAATATCAAATTTTGAAACAAATTGTACTGTAATCATAAGCACGCACGTATGAAAATCCCGAGAGTAGTGTAGATAATAGTGTCAATACAGTCAAAAATTCATTTCAAAATTTGACGCAAAGAAACTAAGTACAGAGAACGTATATAAAGCGTATTATTTAAGCTCATTTGAACTAACTTTAATTTAATGCAACCTTATTTTGCGAACTAAATTATTTATTAGTTTATAATAAACTTGTTTAATTTAGATATGCTTAATAAATGTTTCATCACGGTATGCTAAATACGGAAATTTCTGTCGCATTGAATTATGGTGAAAATACGTTTCTCCGAAAATCATAGTGACATTACAAACGATGAGGCAATGATCACCTGCTGGTAATGTCAAAAAGTGGACTTCCTTATTCTTTTTGTTTCCACTATTTATACTTTCCAGTTTTGGTGGCCTTGTGCCATTTGCATCAGAGTAAGTCTCGTCTCCAGTTTGAAAGTAGTTATTTTCAAGTTTTAGCTGTTTTCTGAAGTAAGTTTTCTGAACTGTTGTTTCACTGTTTGTATTCTAATCGATGTTAGGTACTATTTTATAAAATTATAAAATATTTCTTAGCTTTTAAAATTATATAAGCAATAAGACATATTTTCATGATGCATAATATTTTATCTTTAGAAATTAGAAGAAAAAACGAAATATTTCTGCAATATATTTGTCTGAATCTGTAATAATTAACAATATTTTTAACTGTCTCATTCTGCAGGTTTAAGAATTATGCATAGCATAAAATCTTTTGAAAAGATGGAAATTTGTTTCTTTTTGGGCGAGTTTTTAAATTACCACTTACGAAGCTATAAAAATGAGCTTCAAACATTCCTTGTTAAGATACAAGCTATTGCCTAAAACTTCGTTGTTTATAAAGTGAGTAGTATAAATAGAATAGAAATTTAGGTTTTTTTTATGATATTTATTTACGTAGCAGAAATTAAAATAATCAAATTCTGATTTTTATACAGCATTTTTTTTTTTTTTTTTTTTTTCCGTAGCTAAATTATAACTTTTATACAGAGCTGGTTGAATGCAGCTAAACACTTATTTTTTATCTAGAATTCATTAAATCTTTAAAACCAATGTCCATATGTTTTTAATTTCGTGGCTAAAGTATAAAAAAGCGTTAAATAATGTATCGTAATATCGAAGTTCTGGCAATGACATTTTTTTCTTCTTTCAAATAATGTCTTTAGTAGTAGCAGAATATTCTTCTTCGCGCAATTTAAGAGGATATTAAAGAATTTTCACCATTAAAAATGTTGGTTATGCATTTTTTTAAATGATCAAATTCTAGTCGCAAATCATATTGAAAACGCAAAAATTTTCACAATAAGGTTTATTTCATTTCATTTCTGTATATATTTATCTTTCAGTCAATTCAATATGAAGCACCATTATGAATATAAGCGAAAATAAAAATGTTTACATACGTTATTCTTAACTTAGGACTACTTCAGATTGGTTGTTTTTCATTTCTATATATTACGTTTCTCTTCCCTCTTTAATGACTTTACGTTACGGGCAGCGTAATGGCAAACCGCACATTGAGTTGATCAATGTTAAACGAAATTCGCTAACTACGCATGCCCAGAATGGAATTTGGTGCAATTGCAACTTTGGCGCAGTTTTAAAAGACAATAAAGGTATACTTGATATTCGTGTATCTCCAGTAAACAGTTCGAGGTTTTAAATTTGGTAGTGTCAGCTGCTTCATTACTTAGATTATAATATCGATTGGAACTACGCACATTTTCATTAGAAGATTACAACAGAAACTTCAAGATATATTAGCTTAGCTTATTATTATCTTCAGAATAAAAACAATTGAGCGTTAACAGAAGTTCCTTCGTATCCTGCCAAAAAGTTAAGGAATAAACGCCGTGAAATTAAAATTAAAGTCCTATACTGAAGTCATAAAGGTTTATGAACAAAAAAAATCAGACGAAACGAAACAGAAGTGCATGCAACGCAACACCAAAATTTCGTAGTATGCAATCGTAAACTGTAAAACCACATACTAACGGCGGTGTAGGGTGCCTCCCTAGTCGCCAGTATTTCCTCCCACGACGCGGTACACAGAGCATCGCACTATCCATTCGTTAACTTGATCAATATGTGCATTTGCCATTACTCTACGGGACACGCGTTGAGTAGGGGTTCGGCCACGGGTGGCCACATTAATTGAAGAATGTAAGATTTGATTTCCAAAAATGTCTTGTCAAAAAAAAAAAAAACACTTTGTTTCATTTATTCTTGATATTAAAACTTTTATTGACTACCTATATTTGAGATAACATTTTTGAAATGCCGAATTTTTCAAAATTCACTTTTCTTTGTAATTTATCTTACGTAAATAGCTTCACACTCACTCAATTAGAATTTATAGATTTACAGCGTGACTCTACAGTAAATGAAAGTTTCTTGAACACTTACTTAATTGATTTTATTCGAAGTATGTTATCGAAGACAAGTATCAGGATTCGTAACAGCACTCTTCCTGCCTTCTATCTTTGACAGTACCTACAGATGTGAACAGCTTTTTTATGAAATAAAAATCCTAAAATCAAACCAAGAACACGGCCGCCAGACAACATTTGGAGGAAACTTTAAAAATTGCAACAACACAGACTTTACCGATTGATTTAAGCAAAACCAAAAATTTCACATAAAAAATAACTACCATCTCCTGCTAGTAATGTATTTTTTTTTCCCTTTTTTTTTTTTTTTTTTTTTTTTGCAAATGAATTTTGTAACATCGTTTCTGTACAATCATCTTATACTTCTTTTTTCATAGTTAAAAAAAAATTTTAAACATTTTAATTCGATTTCCGGTTGACTTTTTGAAAACAGTGTATATATATACAAATCTGTAACAGTATCTCTTCGCTTAGAATCAATCGTAGTCTTGCAAAACAAACTTTTTTTATATAAATTTTCTGACTACACTTTTTTTTTTTTTTGACAAACATGGGGGCCCGAGGATCTTTGTGAATTTATTGATGTGGCTCTCGGGCGTGAAAGGTTGAAGACCCCTACTTTAGAGAATTTAAGGCATATGTTCTAAAATTATCGCCAGTGTTAAATCCTTATAGTTTATATCATTTAGTATGTGGTGTGGTTTATTTATTATGGCAAAGTATCCAAGGTTTGCCTGTTTGAAAAGAGGAAAGCTTTCAGGAAAGGCATTCCAAAGGAAACAGGCTCATATCTGCGTTGCCCAGAGGCAGAAAACATTGGCGTAACAGACAGAAACATGTAAAGTAATACTTTTAGTTTCAACAGAAGAAATCCAACCTAACCGAAATTATTTCTAGGCATTTATTAGCACAGATTATTTAGCACAGGTATTGGAGTTTTTTGAAAATATTGACGAATTAAACATGAGATATTCGTCGCTGAACAACAAGATCGACGAAAGTTATTAGATTTAAGCAGGCATATGTCCTATCCGAGTTTTGATCCGATAAATGAGTTGGCTTCTGAGTGTTTTGTGGTTTTTGGTCATGAGTCAGGTTCTCCTATTTAAAAACAAATATATTTTGACTTCTTGAGAGAGAGCTGGTCATACTTAGTACTAATAGAAGCCAATACTTCAACGTTTTGCAAAAATAATCATTTTATTTACAAAAGCAAGACCGGAATTCATCGGTGGTTTCGCTTCTTCTACATCGTAAAGTGAACTAACATTCTTTTTAAAAAAAAAAGAAGTGCCCTCTAACAGCATTTCAAAAATCGTTTGTGGGATTTTTCAACACTCCCCACAAGTAGATAAATAGCTTTTGTCTGTTTTGCCTTAACAATCAAAGCAGCAAAGGAAATGTAAGCTATGAGCCTACAAACACAACTTGAATTGAATAACATATTTTTAAGCAGTATTCGCCGAGCTTTTTCAAAGAATGCCAGCTTGCAGAGAAAAAGGATATAAAGCACTTTCCAAAAGGATATAAAGACATTCCACTTCACAATAGCATTAATTTAATTAAATATTATCTTAAACGAAATAACTTATGCTTTTACGATTTAAAATCTCCGAAGAGCTCACACTTCACAATAAACAGAACGTTTTCTGTGTTTATCTGTGTTTCTCACTTAATATCAACATCAATAATGGACTACTTCAAGCTTATATTTTTCCGCTTAACCAACAGCTTCTAAATATGGTTAATAACTGGCGATTAGAAGCCAAACATGATAATTTTGCAATAATTAATTCGTAATATTGCGTGTTCACTATTAAAAATCAGAATTAAAATTTAATCAGACTTCTTTCCTTCTATTAGTGAAAGCACTCATTTTTTACCCCTCTTTTTTTCTTAAAGTTCCTCTCACGTTTTTAAATTTGAGATCAATATTTTGACAAAAATCTCGTATAGCGTAGTTTATTCCCTAAAATAATTAGATGTGCATTTTGTAAGCGTTAAGACAGATGTATTTTAGATGTATTGTTTGTAAGCGCTAAGACAGATGCAATCACAGATACTAACAGAACAATTTTGTCTAGCTACAGAGGCAAGAACGGAGTAATAAAATACTCAAATTCCTCCCATACTCGCGCAAGCATCTCCATCGTCACTGATGGTATAACAGTATGGATCCGGTTCTGTGGGAGTGGTGGTAAATACACATTGTCTTTAATGGGGTGGTAAATACACATTGTCTTTAATGGAACCCCACAGGAAGAAGTCACAGAGTGTCAAATCCGGTGACCGTCGAGGCCAGCTGAGAACTGGCGAACGAGTTTTAAACTGGCGAACATGCTAAGTCGCCAGTTCCTTGACAATCAATCCAACGGTTCAGTAGAGTCTCATTCAGATAATCGCGCACTTGGCGACACCAGTGAGGGGGGGCTGTCTTTTTGAAAAATGAAGTTGTCTTCGTGCAGCCTCGGAAACGATCAGTTTTGTAGCATAGCGAGATACTGCTGACCGTTAACCGTGTTTCCATCAAAGAAGAATGGGTCGTAAACAGATAATCGGGATATCGCACAAAACACCTTAATTTTGGGCGAATCTTGTACATGTTCAATGGCTGCATGTGGGTTCTGTAGGCTCCAAATTCGAACATTGTGTTTGTTTACATGACCACTAACATGAAAAGTCGCTTCATCACTGAACACGATGCGTTGTGCGAAAATGTTATCGTTGTCAACAGCATTAATAACCTTGTTACGAAATGCCACACGTTTGCGTTTGTCATCAGGACGCAGAGTCTGTAACAAATGTAACTTGCACGGCTTCATAACCAACCGATGTCTCAAAACACGCCAAGTTGTAACTCGCGACTGGCACGACGAGTTGATTTTGAAGGACTAAACGTTGGAAAGCAGTTTGAATTCGTGCAACATTTTTGTCGGGAACACGAGGGCGGCCAGGACACTCTCCTTTAAATACACATCCTTGTATTTACAAACTGTCGATACCATCTGCGGATGTTCCACCCATTCGGAGGATCCCTTTGGTACCTCAACTTGAAACTTCTTTGCACTGTAATCGCGGAATTGCGCTTCGCAAACTCGAAAACACAAAGTGATTTCTGCTGCGGAGTAGCCATTTTAAACGTGTGACGGTTACCACGCAAAACAGAAGACAACTGACATCTAGCGGCTATTAATATAAGCTAGACTATGTATTCGTTTCGCCAATAGCCGAACCGAGGCGCAGTGGTCGATCGTTTGGACAAAGTAACACTTTATAATACTTATATTCTTTTTGAAACACTCTGTATAAAAATTTAATGTCATGTTTCAGTTTTTATTTTTACTAGATTATTATGAAATACGGAGTGCTTTGCACAGATATCCACTTGGTCTTTATTTATTTATTTATTTTTTTTTCCCCCATCAGGTATACTTAATACAAATAGAAAATAAGCAATCCTTGAAAAAAAATGTACACATTGTTTATGATGTCATATGAAATAACTATTGCGCGTTAACAAGATCTAATTATAGTTTTAGTAGTTAGTTCACTTGCTGTTACTCAAAATATAAATTCCATCGAAGCTATACTAGAAATAATAAACTTGGAAACCCATTTTTAATGTGAATAATGCATTTTTATAGTACTCCAGTTCTTTGTTTTTTCGTACACATTCAACGCACATTTCGTGATATATATACTATATAATCAGCAGTTCAAAAACTAATCCAATTGCGAGCTGAAAGCAGCAACAAGTGAGGGGAATAATGAAAAATAAACTAATAAATAAGACGTTCAGTGGCAAACTGCATGAAAGGCGTAAAAAACGCCCCCCCCCAAAAAAATGAAAAAGTAAAAAAGCATTTTACATCTTTCGTTGCATCATCATCATCATCCTATGTTACCAACGTAAAATAAAATACCTATGTTAGAACAATATTACATGTAAATGTAATGTATATTCTAAGTCGGGTTTTCGCGACATGAACAACGCAAATTAAATTTCTTCAATCGGCCTAGTAGAACAGGAGATACTTGCCCCCCCTTTTATTTCGTGTAGAGTGTATCTGACGCAAACACATATATCAAATAAAATAATCCACGATTTCTTTTTCCGTGTTTGCAAGCTTTTCACATGTTTATTTTCTATTGATATTGCCAACTGTGCAAAGATTTATTCAGAGCTTTTTTGAGATCAATGACTAGTGTTCAAACATTGCTGTTCTTTGAGTTACAAGTATAAAACAATTTAGATCAACTTATCTGTTAACCATTTTTGCAATTGAAAAATTGTGAAAATCTATAGTTCAGCATATTTTAACCTGATTTGTTTAAAATATAAAATACTCGCTTTGAGACTCTCAGCATTTCTTAAATTCTTACGAAGCTTTACGTCGCAGACTTGAGCATGCCAAATGCCTTCCCGAATGTTCCCGTAGCTACGAATCTCGTGTTTTCTTCTTCAATATATACACTTCAGGATATGGAAATCGCATTTTCAGAAGAGTAGAATGAAATTCTACAAAATTTGACCTATAGTTTAGTAAATCCTATGAAATCAAGATGACAAGTTTGCATATCTATCAGAGATGGCCATACACAATAATAAAGATTTCAAGACAGATAATTTTCCCATCATTTATAAATTTCAAAAGTTTGATTTCAGGTTCAATATTTTAAAGTTTAGTAAATCCTATGAAATCAAGATGACAAGTTTGCATATCTATCAGAGATGGCCATGCACAATAGTAAAGATTTCAAGACAGATAATTTTCCCATCATTTATAAATTTCAAAAGTTTGAATTCAGGTTCAATATTTTGAAATCAATTAACTGGAAAACATAGTAATTTTTGTTAAATAATGCTTTTATACTTACTGTTTTTAATTTTTCATCAAATAACAGTTATTTTTGTCATATACTTTAATCTTGAAGACATATACTTTAATTTTGAAGATATTATATATAACAGTAAAAAATTAGCTGCTAATATTCTACACATGATTTTAAAAAAATTTTTTGGACGGCAAACATATTTTACTATGATTTTAGCATTAATAAATACAGAGATGTATATTTTCAGTTTCTGCCCCCCAGCCGGTGTACTAGTTAGTGAACCTGACTGCCGTAGTGATGAGTCCGGGTTCGAATCTCGAAGGCATGGCTGTAATTATCCGTCCCTTCATAGGAGGCAACAGTGGCCACCAATTAGGTGCTTCCATAATGAAATGGCCATCACTTCCGGTCGTTATATAGTGGCGCAATGTTAACGGCTGTTAAATAAAGCGTCCGGCCATTACCCCCCCCCCCCCCGCAAAAAATTCAGTTTTCTACTTACTATATTGAAGGTTAAAATTATGTGTTTTTAACTAAGCATTTACAGTTTTTTATGTATTCCTTTATTTCCAATAATTTCAAGTCTAAGAATGAAGGCTGTTTTCCCAGAGAATGGAGAAAAAAAATTGAATTTTTTGTTTATTTTTAAGAAGTTTATTATTTTTAAGAAGAGAGACGTTTGTCTAATCGAGTTCAATAGTTTTCTTCAAAATCTATGCCAAACTAATGAATATTTTTTTAGTAATTTTAAATTTTACACTGGTTTCAAGTTAATTCTCTCTTTAAATTTCAGTATTATATTAAACATTATTCTCTTTAAATTTCTGTTTAAATTTAAGTATTATATTGAAAACGGTTCCTCAGTTTTCGAACACATTCGGAGAGGGAATATAGTTGATTCCACATCCTCGGAAGCAAAGCTGTTAAGTTTAAATTAATTGCATTTTCCTGTAGAAGATGTAAAACTAAACAAACTCAATAGAAAAAAAAAAAAAAGGTTTTGAACTACCAATGAAAAACTTTCCCTAAGGATTCGCCTCGCTTTAAGAATTCTGTTCTTTCAGTAGCTTTCGGTCAAAAAAATAATCGCACACAGTTTCGCCTTACAAAACATCGCAGTATTTTCTTTGCAGTTAATTACAATTAAATATTTTCCGCTTTATGTGATTTACTTTAAATATACATTCCCTTAAACGGAAACTAACGTTTTTACAAATATTTCGATTTTTGAAAGCTGCAAGTAACCTTAATTTAAAATTCTTTGTATATAAATATGCATACCAGTAAGTACTCGTTGTACGCATATTAATATATGAAGATACGATTAGGTCAGTTCAAAATTTTTGTCGAATTTGTGTTTCGTATTAATAGGAAAATATAAGATTCACACATGAAAATATAATTAATTTCAGTTGTAAATCTTATATTATTCTATTCAGTTCGCTAATTGTGCTAAACAGATTACTGCTTTGATCATTTTTTACTGCAATGTGTTATATTTTCATTCCGTAGTTAGAGTATTTATTATTTCATTATTTATATTACTCTTATCGAGTTAGAAAATGACTGCAGTAAGAGAAAGATTTATACAACAGGATGATTTCTAGATACTTTTTTTCAGTATTTCGGTAGTTTCTCAGAGATTAAATTGTCATTAATATTATTTAAACCTTCATTTTAAGTTAGCGTGTATTGAAAATTAATTTATGTATCTTTCTCTTTTATTTCTTCATTTATTATTTTGTACTTTTGTGACGCGAATCGTTCAGTTTGAATATATTTGAATATATACGTATATGCGTATATACATATATATACGTGCATGTATATACGTAATATATACATATATACGTATATTATATTCATATATACGTATATAAACTGAGACTCCTGGGAGATCTTCTTTGTTAATAGAGATTACAAAACAGGATTTTCGAAAATTTTGTATAGTGAATTTATAAATGTATCAACACAAAGCAAGATAGCCGTTGTGTTCTTGGCTGTAATCTGTAACAAACAGTCCGAAGTAAAAACTGGAAGTTACGACACTTTGAAGATGAATTATAGCCTTGCAAATATACTTAATTTATTACGAAACATAGTACATATTTATTAATCTGGCTTCCAATGATTCGGCACCTCTTTCTGCCTTAAAATCCTGCAAAGGGCACTTTATTTGGTAATATCAGAAAAGACTTGGTTATTGCTTCGTATTTTTTATTGTCCAAAATAAATAATGTAATCTAATTCAATCCCAGACTTTTACATTCATCTCCATTAAACGATAATATGTACATCTACTGCTATTTTCATTCCTTAGGTAAATAAATACTCGAATGTAGAATCATTGCCTGTACAACATGTGACATGCAAGTTGGCTAATATTTTTAATCACCTTACAAATAATGGGATAGTTGACAGCTGTTGCAAAAAAATTGGAATGTGTATCAGATGGCACTTTTCCTGTTCAGCTTTTGATTGCCTCTGAGATGCTATCCTAAACATTTACTATCTACCTCTAAATAAAATTGCATGCTTGAAATTGCATGACGGATTTATAGCGCAGTTTCTTTGTTCCGAACAAAAAGCAAGAGTACTCGGAATTTTCCAAAAATCAGCGCATGCCTCTCGAGCGCTTTGTATCCATTGTTTTAATTTTTTTATTTCCTGCGCTTTGGCGGTTTTATCTTAGTCACATGTTTCCGTGACAACTGCATGCAGACAGATGCTGCGCTAAAGCCTGTAATCAGTTTCCAACAGTCACCGCTCCTCACCTACTTCATCAAACATTGGATTTTTTGTGTTGTTGTTTTTGTTTTATAATTTAATATTCTGTATCAACGAAATTTTCTGTTTTCAGAGCACATTCAAGATGAAATCCGCAGTTTATTGTTTGATGTTTGTGGCCGTTTGTACTTTGTTGTAAGTAATTTCTTATTTTATCGTATTTATTAATGTTTTCAAAGAATTGATTCTTGCTGTATTATAAGTATTGTTTAATTTTAGTTTGATCATTGGGATCTAACGTCCAACATAACGTTTGTTTATTTCAAAATACCATATTCCTTTATATATTTCAGTAAATTTGCTTTAAAATGATTATTATTTTTAATTATTTTTGTGAATGTATTTGAAAAATGCACTCAGAAAACTAGTTTTATTTGTAAGTCTATATGGTGCAATCATGCAGTTACGTTAAACATTCCTTTTTTCTGACAGAAACTTAGATAAAAGCATAAGTATTTTGTGTTTCTTCTTTCCCTCCCGATTCAGAATATAACTATAAACTGATTTTAACAATAATACAATGATAAAGAAAGAATATTACATACTATATACTTTTTTATTAAAACAAACGAGACCGGAAAGAATGCTTTGAAGGGAGATTACAGTTTGATAAAAAAAATTATTTAAAATGAAACTGTAAATTTAGCATAGTTTTCTAATAAAAACTAATATTTTAGTTTTCCTACGCAGCTAAAATGAGGACTAATTTATGGAGATAAGTTACCCCTAAATAATTTAACTATAATTTATTAAATGCAAACTGAATTATCCGATACCTTTTATTTCTTCCAGTGCAAGTTACAATTAAGCATACTGATAGTATCATTCAATGAGATCTGAGATATCACATAAACGGAGCATGTTGCTAACAGGCACAGTCGGTTTGAAATTTTTTAACTGCTTGTTACATATTATATTTTGAAAAAGAAAATTCGCGATTGTTAAGAAAGGTGTGTAGTAACACGATTTCTTTTCAAGTAGGCCCGACTACCCGAGGTTCATTTAAAGGGCAAACATACCCACACATACATATATGATATGTAATTAAATCGCAGAGCATCAGTTTTATATTAACAGCCACATCGTTTCCAGTTGAATGTATTACTCGCCATGAAACTATAGTTTATATACAAATGTAGAGAACGATAGAATTTTATAATGATTTATAATTTTGGAATTTTAGGATCATGAATGTGGAATGTCGCTCTCCAAGGGTGTGTCCCGAAGAATGTGATCAGAGCACCTGTAAAAAAGTATCCTGCAAATGTGGGGCTTTCGAAGATGAGTGCAACTGTTGTTCCATTTGCTACAAGGTGAGATATTTTAGGCGACATTTGGAAGTATTACAAAGTAGAATTTATTAATGCAACATATACAATTTCCTGAAAATAGAGTAAATATTATATATCTATTATAAATACATATACTGTGTAGTATTGTATTTAGATAATCACAGCTTTATAGCATTTACAAATCCAGTTGATACAGGTAAATTTAGTGCCATAGCTAGCAAAGATACATCTGTCCAAATACATCAGGTCCAAATACATCTGATACATCAGGAAGCAAAGGATACATCTGTCCTCGAGCGTAGTGTCCAGGGGCCATCACATTTATATTACAAAATTTTGCAAATAAATGTTTTCCATTCTAGGAAAATAGGAAGGTGGTGCGAATTTTCCATTTTCACTGGACCCTGAAAATTCTAGCTACAGCCTTGGGCATACTTAAAAGGCTAGAGGAAGAAAAAGCAGCCCCCCCTTTTTTTTTTCCAAAAAGGAAAGTTGTAGGACAATTTTCTTGAATTTCAGAGCTTTCGCTTTCAGTAAATTAAAACAAGGAATTTTAGAGCTGCTAATTGGGTCCCGTAATTAAAGGAACGGAAATACAGTAAAAATACAAAAGACTAGCAAATTTCTTTTAGAATTAGAGATTTAAGGAAACCATCCTCTTTTGGCTTCTACGAAGGACAATAAATGAATACAGAGTTAATAACGCCTTACGAAACTTAGAAGATGCGTAATTTTGTCGGCAAGCATCAAACCATGGACCTGAGCACTTAGTTCCTAGAATTAAGCGAGCTCTGAAAGCTGATGCTAAACTTGCCAAGCCTTTTCCTGCGAATAAGCGGAAGAGCTACGTAGTCCTCTCCCAGTGCGCAGCAGCATATTTGAAAACGCAGTGTCAGTGAACCTACTGCATTGAGGGCCGAGTTTGCAAGCCTGATGATTTAGCGAACGTAAGTGCAAGTTATGTTGAATTCAAAGGTGTAGCCAGCGCTCCTGTATGTTGAGGTGCGTCGAGAAAGAGTCGTGTTTCAAAGGAGAAGCTTGTATCACATCTAAACTCTAAACTAAACTCGGCGGCACAAACACCCTAAGGGAGCCACGGCAAGCAGTGCCCTGATATCTGCTTTCTAGAACGTGGGCTTCGGGATGCTTGTGCATCTTAGACTGGACAAGTGGTCAACTTGTCGCAGGATCCCCCATATCCCATCTGTTGTTGCTTAATCAAATTATATCCTTCACACCATTTTACTACCTTCGATGAGCAATGAATGAGTGCTACGGTTGTAGCGCTATCTACGACAAGAGTTGGAAGTATCATTGGGGAATATCGTATCACTCACTTGAGTCTATTAGACCGTACATTGGAGACTGGACTGAACGCATGCTCCTAACCCGGTACCTTATTCGTCATGTCTCTTTCTAAGGACAAGTGGGATCGCTACATAGATTGCAGTTTGACATCACGTCAGGGCTACCATCTCAACAGCAAGATACATTATAGAAACACATTCTTTGATGTAATTCTCGATAAAACATTTTGGGTAGATTTAACGAAAATTATGTTAAATGCGGCATTTTCCCCAAATTCCATACTTTTAATTCAAAAAATACAATTATAGAACTGGAGCTCTTTTTTTTTCGATGTGTGAGGACACATGAGTTTGGTACATAAAGATAAAAATCTACTTCTTTCATTCAAATTAGCATGCACCCTTTTTGCATTCCGTGCAACAAATTTGGTTTGGTATATTTGACTACGGCAAAGCAATCGAGGGTTTTGTGGAGGATTTTCTAAGGGAAACTGGCTTATAAACACGTTACGAATGGGGAAAATCACGAAACCGTTCATGCACCCACCCCGTTCGTAGGAACTCGAAACCCGAGCCGAACTACCGGTGTTCAGCGACTCTATCACTCGGCAGTTAGTGGGTCCGTGCAGTGGAGTAGTAATTATAATCTAAACAGTGTTAAACAAAATTCTCATAAATTAAAATTCGTATAAAATCAGATTTGGATGTATTTTTACTTCCTTGCACAAAGTAAAGGAAGTATTGTAATTTCGAAAACTTTCGGGTACTATATTTCAACAAAAATATCAATTTTGACTTAAAAAAAAGTTAAGTTGCTCTCAAATGCACTTTAACGATGTGTTTGCGTGATATCTGTATATAAAAACAGAACAAAGGACTCTTTCCAAAACGGATTGTAAAATGGATTTAAAAGAGGAGTCAGAAGAGAGTTTTTCGTGACGTCTGTACGTACGTTCGTATGTATGTATCTCGCATAACTCAAAAACGAGTAGCCTCAGAAACGAGTAGCCTTTACTGATATATATATATCAATAATGTTAAAAATTTAGGACAAATTTTTCACAAAGATCAAATATTGAAATTCATAAGTAATAAATTTCATAATATCCTATAAATGTAAAAAAAAAATAATTTAATAAACGTTATAACTAAATTACTTCAAACAACTAATACCCTAATTCAAAAAAAATTGTTTTGTAATTATACCCAGCTCGGTGAGCTCAGAATTTTTATTCTTAAATGTTGGTAAATTGTGCAATTTTTTGATTGAAATATGTTGTTCTTGTATGTTCCGGTTAATGTTTCTATCTGCATGCAGTAGTAGCATAATTGTATCATATCTACATACAGTAGTAGTAGTATGTTCATGTTCCGTTTGAGGTTTTTATGTCTTTAGTTAATTTGCATACAGTAGTAGTAGAATTATCAACAATTTAAAAGTTGCTTAAGTGTTGCTAAGCCTAACGAAGCCGCCATTTGTTTATATTTGAAACTTAATAGAATAGAAAAGTGAATCAAGTCATTTTGTGCACCAGTTTCAGTGTCTTTTTGCCGACTGGGACCAGAAGTAAACTTTGAGTTTTCTGTCTGAGTCGAAAAATCTGTTTTCCTGCCCGCTGGTCGAATTGCTTGTTCTTGCATAGAAACTCTAATTTTAATTGTAAATTTTGTTTAACCGTTTTTAACTGTATTTGAAGCTTTATGTTTTTCTGTATTTTACAATTTTTAATGAAGATGATTTGAGTTTTATGTATTTTTGTCTTGCCGCGAAGTGAGAAAATGAATTGAATAAGAAATATTTCTGAAATGAAATTCGAAGAAATAAGTTCAAACGAAATGCAGTAGAAAATGTGTATAATTTAATAGGCCATAGAAGGAAGTCATGTGATGTCCACATCAGATTGTTTTTAAGGGAGAAGAGAAGGTAAAGCTTGAAGAAATACTTTATTTACGAGAGAACGAGAGAAATAAATTAAAATTACTTTATAGTTTAAATTTTTATTACCTTTTTTTTTTTTTTTTTTTTTCTTAAAGCAAGAAAAATTTCTAAATTGAAGGTGTCAAAAATATGTAAAAAAGCAGTTGGATCAAACATAAATATGAAACTTGACACTTGACGTATGAAAGCAATGTACAGTTAATGAAGATTTTGCTAAAGAAAAAGTAATTAACGAACCAGAAAAACATGAATGGTTACTGTTAAATTACGTAGATTTGAGCGCATAAGACTTGGTTTGTCTGATTATGGCAATGCATGTGAGGGCTAATTGCTTAAGGGAAGGTTTTAAAGGATTCGAAAATAACTATGGATTTAATATGAGAAAACGCTTTAATTGCAGATATTTACCAAAATTCAGAAGCAGTTATTCTTACAAAAACGATAGAGCTTATTTTTAAAACATAAAAACTTAAAACAGAGTTGAGTTGTAGCTGATATTACTCAAACAACCTCCCACCTTGTAATTTTGCAACAAAAGTTATAAATCAAGTCTATTGGGAATTTTAACACGTCGAGCAGCTCTAGTAACAAAATCTGGGACTTTGGCTGATGAATCATCATCTTCACTGGAATCTGATCATTAGCTGCAGGGCATAGAGGCATATTCGTACAAGCACTTTCATCCCTTCGAGCATCTTGGGCGATGAATGGTAACTTTTCCGAACTGTTGATTTCTAACGGATAAAGTCTTTGGAATGGTCTCAACTTCTCTCCATCAGCTGTTCTGACTCTGGCAACTCTTGAGTGTCCATCTGCTCCACAAAAGACTTCAATGACGATTCCTAAAGGCCAGGTGATACTCTTGCCATCAGTTTCTAAAAGAACGACCTCTCCAACTCTTAAAGATTCTTCCCGGCTCTTACATTTATGAATCAACATTGCGAAATGCTCATTCCGAAATCTCATTCTTAAATCCCTTAATTTTTGTACAAAACGCAATCTTATATTTAGGCTTTTACTGTCGATTTTGTCTAAATCAGTTGTTTCACTGCTAGGAATACTTTGTAAGAAACAAGCGGAGGTTAATGGCTTCAGACCTTCAAAATTGTCTTCAATACATGTAAATGGCCTAGAGTTTATTGTAGCTTCGCAGTAACATAGAATAGTTTCCAACTCTTCATAGTCAAGACTTTTTCTGCCCAAAAATTCTTCTTAGCATCTCTTTCAACATTCTAACCATGCGCTCCCACCATCCTCCCCACTAGGCGGCTGTTGGAGGGTTAAAATTCCATTTGATTTTCTTGATAGTGGAAAACGACATGATCTTCTCCAATCTAAATTTCTTAGAGCATTGCTTGAACCAATGAAGTTTGTACCATTATCAGTGTAGATTATATTTACTCTACCTCTTCGAGCAAAGAATCTTGTTAAAGCCATAATAAAAACTTCTGTTATACAGTTGTCCACATAAAAATATTCTTTGAGTTGACAAGCTGTGTGCTTCCTTTCATCCATAGCGTTCTCTAGATGGTAAGCTATAGTGCTTCTAGTAAAAATGGACTAGGAGAAGCACCAAATACCACTCTACAATGTTTACAATGTACTCTACCAGTTTTTATCACAGGATGATGTGGTAAATAGTGTCCCTTTTCTCGTCTTTATCTACAATTTCAATAATTCCATCCCGAACCCACTCATTAAACGCATCATCATATTCTCTTAAATGTTCAGATCGTATGAGATTTTTGGTAGCTGACATTAACCGTTTAGTGGCT